TTTTTTTTCCCGACATTCAAAGTCAACAATTGTGGGTAAAGATATTTTACATAATACAACGGGCAGTGGGCGGAGCAAGTACTCCGTACTGTGTGGAGTAGTATTTATTGATTTAAAAAAAAGATCTAGTACAGTATGAGAATATTAAAGTCTACAATTGTAGGCATATAAATTGATTAAAAAATGATCTTTCCAAATTACCCTTAAACCACGTGTGAATAGTGGGGGACAGATAGGGGTAGTTGGTGTAAATAGTAGAAAATGAAAGGGTATATTGGTGAGAGAGAGAGAGAGAGAGAAAATCACATTGCATCGTAGAGTTTGGGGAGTCTATTGGTGGCACCCCATAGTGAGCTGGCTGGATAGCTATTTCCTTCGAGAGAAAATGAGAGAGAGAGAAAATATGTGCACGGTAATGGATAGAGTTTGGGGAGTATATTGGTGGCACCATTGCATCGTAGCAGCTTGACACGTTTTGGGATGAAAGGGAATTGTGACGTTTTACTTTCGTCTATATTTTAAGATTTGGAGGTAGAGGGGGTTCGATTGTATAGTGTTTAAATTTGTTGTCTCGAACTTGTTATTTTTAATATATTTTTGACATTTTGATATATCATTATTTCTTAATAAATAAAAGATGCAAATATTTATTATGTTGATATATTAAAAATGTGTCAAAGTGTCGAAAATGTATTGTATGAATAGCAAACTCGAGACTATAAATTTTAACTCAACTCATCTTCTGATTGTGTACAAAATATTAATTACATATGTTCAAAGTGCTCTTCGGACCTTGCAACGTACCAATGGGAAAATCATAAGCCGAGTCAGTTAATTTTTGGTTTATTCTACTATAATACTCAATCATCTCACCTAAAAATTATAAACGTTCGAAACCTTTTTTTTTTTAATTTGTCTTTGAGGAAGCAAAATCATATTTAAAAAATAAAATAAAAAAAATTGACTAACATTAACAATGCCGATACTTTATCTTCTATATATTAAAAGTAGTTATGTAACGGAATTTCTTGTTTTTAACGGAAAAACTAACGAAATTTGTTGTTTTAACGGATTATGTAACGGAATATCTTGTTTTAAACAGGCGGCTGCACCTTTTTTCAGTGTTTTTATCATAACTTTGTATTCCGATATCCGATTGAAGCGATTCAAAATGCGTTGAAAAGCTAACTCATCTGGCTACAACTTTTATTCAGACATCATTATCCAATTCGATCACTTTCTATGCCAAAAATAGGTCTCAATATGAGACTAAAACATTGGAGCATAACTTTTCGGTTGGAAATTGATTTGTGATCATCTTTTGACTAAATTTGATTCCATTGACGTCTTCCTTTATCCAATTGACTCCGAGCACTCTCAAATCTTCATCGTGAGGTTCGGCACAACTTTTAAGTATTTA